TAGGTTGTTTTTGAAAACCCCGGTACAGGACGTTTGTGGTAAATGATTTTATTTATGAGAAACGGATTTGCTTAAATTACGAGCTCACTTACTTGTTTTTATGATTTCTACCAACTTTCGTTTTTATATCGGTGAGTAGTGTGATTTTTTACTGGGATAGTGTACCTCACTCTTTTATTAATCATTTTAGATCAAGATGATCAGGATCCGGAGCCCGATCCACAAGAGGGTTGCGATGAGGACATTCCGTTTGTATTATTTCTTTGGTTATTATTTATTTTTTTAGAAAGATTATTCATGTAAACCTTATTTGATACTTTCAGTTATTGTGTAAGAAATGTAAACCATAATTTATTGTTTCACTTTTGCAATCAATTCATATTTATTTCCTTTCAAGTTCACGGTCATTACATATGTTCAACTTCTTCAAGTTGTAATTGTATTAATACATATTTTCTCTACTCATTAAGATTTTTTTAAAAAAATGTTAGCACCAATCTCTACTCATTAAGGTTTAAAAAAGTTAGCATGTAAACCTTTGTCGGCCAAATTCCAAGCCGAGGTAACTACTACCATAACACTACCAACAATGCCTAAGCTACCAAGCATTATATTACCCCACCACATCCCACTAGTCCTCTTTGGTTTTTTCATCTTTACCCACATGAAACATGGATATACAAACGTTAATGGCAATGCTAGTCCTCCAATTAGACCTCCCAAAAATGGTAAGAATGGCAGAGCTACTGCTATGAAGAAAGCTATTCCTCCGTAAATTATGCGAAAACCTGTTCGAAGCCACCATGGACAAGCCTTCTTCTTTTTGATAGAGTATATCAATTCTATATTGTCGAAAGCTGGCATTGCGTAGATTGGGAATGAACTTAAGCAACTTATAATTACCAGAATATGTATTAGGCATTTTACTAATTTTGAGTAGTTGTGTCCATAGAAGTCTAAGTATGGGATTATTATCCCTCCAATTGTCGGTATCTGCCACAGTAAACAACAAAATAAGTCATTTTAGGAGTTAAATGTAATAAGATGAGTACTATATAAATTATTATTGTTATACATAGATGTATATATATTTGTATCTATGTTCACCTTGTTGCCATAAGCCCAGTATCCAACTATTGCAAGTGGGAAGAAACATGATGCTATCAACAAATAAGATAGAAATACTGCTCTCAACATTTTCTTTTTTGATGGGTGTTTTTCACTGGAAGGCAATGTTCCCTGCGTACATTTCAACCAAATAGTTAAATCACTTAAATTCTTTAAAAGTCTAGCCAAAGATCTAATTAGGAACTTTGAAAATAATTTAGTGTAAAGTTAAGTTGTGTAATGATTAACAAATCTAAGTTATAATTAGTTCTTATTTCAAATGCAATTCAAACGAATAGTACCATAGAAGTAAATAATAACCTGAATTTCAAGAATAAGATTGTGACCTCTACAAGCAAACACGATGATACCAATGGCTGTGAGGATCCTACTAAAACCAGCCATCCCAGTTTCAATTGATGTTAAAACTGTCTCATGGGATACACCAGTAAGCTTTCTTCCATCTTTAATAGGTAGGACCCAAATCAAAGTACAATAAGCAATAGCAGTGATAGCACCAATCATGGAAACCCTAGCAATTGAGTTCAACTTTGGCAATTGAACTATAACAATGGCAATGCAAGTGAACACGAGGAACCACTCTGGCCCACTCAGTGATTTTGCTTGATCACACGCATGACCTTCACCTCCACACATGATCTTATAGAGTTGCTCCATTGTTAATCCTCCTGTGATCACTAACATCACACAGGACCCACTTGATAAATACATCACTGGAAATATTGCAAGCAATTTTCCAAGTTTTGGACCTACATTAAGATAATTTAAATTAGCATAATGATTGTACAGAAAGTATTAATAATTATAAAGTTTTGAGGTAAAGTATTATTCACCTAATAATTTTTTTACACACAATTGTACTGATTTTAAAATAGTTGAATTAAAAAAATTTTAACTTGCCTATGACTTAGACTTATCTTTTACTATTAAGCACTAGTAATGACTCAAATTATTCAATAATAATAATAATAATCTTAAAACATTTATTTTAAAAATCTATTGATTCAGTTATATTTGATCTCTAAACATTATAATAATTTTATTATTGAAATTATGATTAATTCTTTTGTACTAACCAAAGGCGACAATGGAGAGACGAACATATCGACTGTAACGAGTTCCGGGAACTGGTTCATGGAGGTTAACAAGAATCCATGTTGTATAAATCTGCCATATAAATACTAGTGACAAAGCTATGGTCCCCCACACCCTGCAATCACAATAATATTTTTAATTAGAACACTAAATTTAACCAGCAAACTTCAGTTCTTCTCCATATACATATACTAGATCTATCAACATTCTAAATTATACAAAAAATAAATAAATAAATAATTCTTCCATTTGATTTAATATGAAGATAACTTTGTGAAAAAGAAAGATGGGTCTCGATCATTAAAGTAATTCAGTTCAAACAAAGTTTGTTAATCTTTATAATTTATTCCTTAAAAAGACTTAAGCTACAAACTAGGTTTGTCGCAGTGAATAAACCAGGGGGGTCAACCATAGGGAAGAACTGAGCTGGGTTCAGGGTATAGACACATGATTGAAAATAAATAAGTAATTAAATTAGAGTTAATGCATATGCTTAGAATTAATTAAAAAAATAATCAGGGAAGATTCTAATTGATGCTAAAATGTTTCTAGAAGTCAGTTCATACTCAACGGAGACTATATATATATATATATATTGGAACTAAGAAATTTCCTCACAATTATATTCTTAAAGCTCTACCAGTCAGAAATCTAACAAATTTCTATAGACTAGGACAATAGTAATTGATGTAAGTTAGTAGTCTCTTAATTATAACAAGGTTTCAAAAAAGTATACATGTAAAATAATTAAATTAAAAAAAAATTAAAATTAAAAATTATTTATATAGAATATTAAACATATCAAATTTATCACTAATTACAACGTAAATAAAAAGTTCAAAAAAATTAAAAAAAAAAATCTAATCTCGTCATTTGAGATTGGTACGCAGATAGGTTTTTTTACTATTTTTAAAAAATTTTGATTGATTTTGACCCGTTTTCTTGGTTATTCACTCTATTTGGCAAATTCAAACCATCTAATTTTGGCTTACCAGCCAAGCATGGCAAATGCGAGAGGAAGAAGCAGGGTCTGGAACCCAATCCCAGAACATAACAAGTGAAAAATGGAGGTCAAAACGGTGCCGTTCCTGGAGCCTGTAATGGGAAGCCATTCTTCTAATATGACAGGAGTAAAGACAATAAGATCGCCGACAACCTCGGACCTAAAAGAGCGCCGGCTCATGCTGCCACCCACGAACGCATCAGACCCTTTCGAGCTGGCGGCAATGGTGATTATCTGCAGAGATCCTTTCGAGCTCGAATGAGAAAGCTGGTGACAAAGGCTTGGTGCCGTCTCATTGATATCAATAAGATCAGCCAAGTCTCCCATGTCCACCACTCTGTTCGACATGATGAACCTCTCTGTTTCTTCTCCCCTTCAAATTGATGATCTGATTTGAGCCTTACAGGCCTACCTGAAGAAGAAGAAGAAGAAGAAGGTGGTCAAATGGGTGTTTACCCGTGTGAATGAGAAGATTTTGATTTTGTTTTCATAAGTTGGCGATTGGTGTGTATATATATATATATAGATACACGTACATAAGCAATGACATATAAAGGGAGGCTATGTTAGCGTGTGCTTTAAAAAAATATAAACAAGTAAAGATTGGTGTACAGCCAGCATTTACAGACTCACTATCCTCTCCTCTCGCGATTTATTTAGAGGAAAGAGACGAGAAGAAGCCCTGTGAATTGAGTGATAAAGTCCGGAAAAAATAAGTAATGATGTGGCAAAATGACGCATGCGCTGAGCTTATCACCACGTGTTTTCTTTTGAAACAAACTTTCAAACTAATCGAGTTTTTTTTTTTTTTTTTTAAAGTATAATTTACTTTTTCACTTATTTAATTTGCTTTACGAAAAAAATCCTCAATGAATACTTAAGAAGATTTTTAAAAAGATTTTTGGTAATATTTGGTTTGATTCCATGTAATTACTTTTCAAAAGGAAATTATTTTCTAATGTATAAATTATTAACTTATAAGGTAAATTGAGTCAACAAACCTATTTTTATGTTATAATCTATTGAGTAAAATGATCCTATTAAATTTTATAAAATTCTTAATTATGTTTTATTTTTAGTCACTTCATCAAAATTTTAACTTATAAACAATATTTATCCAATATTCATAATTATATGTCTTTTTTTCAAAATAGAAAAATTAAATCAAATTTTCTTTTTATTTATTCTAACTACTCAAACTAAAAGAATTTAATTGCTACACAATATTATTTTTACCTATATAAATATCATGATTTGATATTCGAAATCGTAATCTTGAAGTAAATCACTCTATTTATTTCTTTCTCTAACTCATATTCTTCTATCACATACCATATTCTACTTATAAGATAATGTCCGGAGCATATTTACTTAAATAACATAAATTTAAATTAAGTAAAATAATTTAACTTTATTAATTATAATAGAGTCGTAGAAGCGTTACATTCTTTAAATATAAAACATAAATATATGTACGAGCTTCTAAATTTCGTTGCTTACATTACTAAATAAAAGTACGAAATAATAACTTTAATATCAGAGTTTAACTTCAAAAATTTCTTCTCTATCATTGCTCACTCTACAACGGTATCTTCAATATTTGGAGAGTAATAAGAAGGGGTATGTAACGACCCGAAACTTGAAAGAAAATAAATTATAAATTAAGTGCGGAAACGAAATAATGACATTAGAACTTACATTCCTTACACAATAATTCAAAATATCAATAGGGGTATGGGAATGACTCTTCTAAAGGAATAACGAATAATCAAGAAATAAATAGAAAGTAAACAACTGAACATCCTATTCGCAACTCTCTTGTGGATCGAAATCTAGATCTTGGTTCTCTTAATCTGAAATGATTAATGAAAAAGTGAGTTATACTAGTTCAATAAGAATGTCACACTACTCACCGATACAGAAATTAAGGTTGGTAAAAATCATAAAAATAACTAATGGATCTCTTATTTTAAGTAAATTCATTTATCATAAGTAAAATTATTTATTGTACACTTACCGTAGTGAAATTTTCAAAACTGACTTATAGAGGCAATAACACAAACAACATCATAATCTCATATTCAATTAACCATAATAATAACTTTTCATTTTTATCTGCCTACTGGTATCCATAGAGGTTCATAGAGGTATCCCCACTACGCATGAACCCTTATTCAACATTTTTAATTAACTGGCCGTCCTCATACTCCATTCGGTATGAGCGCCAAAAATATCATCCATCAATACCCCATCCGGTATGAGGAAGAAACAAGTCGTCCCCATACCCCGTCTGGTATGAGTGCCAAAATACCAATCCTCCATATCCCGTCCAGTATGAGGCAACATTTACGGTAGAGAGCTATGTACTCGGTTCGTCCACCATCTTCTAGTATATTTTTTAAGGTTACTATTCATTCACTCACTTAATCAAATAATTTTTCGTTTACATTTAATTTTTAATTTCATAATTTAATTGTAAATCAAGCAAAACAACCAATACATGCATCAAGGAAGTACAACTGAATTATCATATCAACTCAAGTGTAATATTACGCATTAGAAACAGTAAAATCAATCAAACATGATTAACAGTGAATAATAACCGATTCTAACTCCATTAGTAGCTTATGATTAATTATTGAGCTTTTCTAAGATGTGCAAAATATCATATTATTTATAATTAAACTTCAATTCTATAACAAAAAATAAGGTGAGGGATTCTTATTCGAATCGATGTCCGAAAAGCTAAACTTTCAGCTATGCCTACTGAGAGTCTCTGGGTTCCCTGAATTTCTTTTCGGAAACTAAAATACGCTCCAAACACCTAGAAATACCCTAAAAAACCTAAAATCGGTGTTAAAAACCCTTTCTGGCCAATTTTAAAATTCTTGAACGGCGGTGGCGTCATGCTCTGGTGACAGCACCGCCGCCCGCGACAACGATTTGCCATGAGCTGGCCGTTTGGAGCGAGCTTCGGCCAATTTTGACCAATTTTGTACTCATCCTTGCAAGAAAACACGTTAAGAAGCATCAGTTGACCCAAAAAAATCAAAAAATAAAAGTCCGGTGCGGCAGCTCTGCCGGCTCACCTTTGCAATTGAGCAATTTTTTTGTTAACATTTGAAAAACAAAATGATGAATACAATGATGAAAAAATTGCATGAAACAGAAATCGGGAAGGGCCTCATCGGATGCAGTTTTTTATTTTTTCCGTGGCAGCGCTGCCGGGGTTTACTGGTAGTTTTCAGCTCATCTGCCAATCCTTTTACTCCGATTTGGCCATGAGGGTTATCAAAATCAAATTTCGAGAGACAATAATTTTTTTACCTTTTTTGGCGGTCGGAAGTGACTTTAACACGACAGCGGACGACCGGTGATTCCCTTCTTAGCGACTGGTTATTCTTCTCCAGGCGGGGGGCTGGCGGCTAGGGTTAGAGTTTGGTATGAAGTGAGGTATTTATATCTATTTTTTAATCTGAATCGTCCATTGTATTTGATCTGAACCATCCGATCGCGTTTAAATAGAAAGTGAATCTGAACCGTTCATTGCGATTTGATTTAGATCGTACGATCGAACTTAAAGAAAAAAATAGATATGGACCGTTCATCGCATTTGATAGCGACTGTCCGATTACGTTTGAGGAGGGAACGGATCCAGACCATCCACGTGCGTAGGAACAATATGGACCGTCTGACCGGGGCACACAGAACACCAACATGGCTTCTCGCATAGCATCGTGTTAGTGCGTCTTACCACGCGACACGCTCTGGTTCGTCGGGACTTCTTATTGGGTGATCCTACGTGGCATATTTTTTCTAAATTATGTTTTGACCATCATTTTTTTATTTTTCTTTCAAAAACACCACTATAACCCAAATTTTCACATCTTTTTTCTCAAAATTATTTTCAATTCCATCCTCCACCTATTTTCTTCCTAATTTTTACATTAAATAAAAATTTATAAATTAAAGAATTAAATTTTATACATTAATTTTAAATATTTAAAATTAATTTTGGATATTACAACTCTTCTCCCCTTAAAAGAAATTTGATCCCTCAAATTTGTGTTTTTCTTACTCAATCAAACAATTGGGGAATACTGGGCTCTGAAGTCTTCTTCTAGCTCCCATATGACCTCTTCTTATGTGTGATTCTGCCATAGGACCTTAACGAATGAAATTTTCCAGTTACATAGTACTCTACTATTTTAGTCCACAATATCCACCAGTATCTCCTCATACGACAGATCCTCCTGGAGTAAAAGGGGCTCATAGATCAAGATATGAGAGGGTTCCGGGTTGTACTTGCGTAGCATTGGCACATGAAATACATTATGAACCCTAAATAGTTCTGGAGGCAGTGTCAATCTGTAAGTGGCGGTGCCAATTCTGTGTAAGATTTCAAATGGCCCAATAAATCAGGGATTTAGTTTTTTTCTCTTACCAAACCTACTGATTCCCTTGAAAGGAATGATTTTAAGGAACACCTGATCACCTTTATCAAATTTCAAACCCCTCCTTCAGGTATCTGTATAACTCTTCTGCCTGCTCTGAGCCGTTTGAATATTTTTCTTAATCTTAACTATTTTGGTTGTAGTCTCCTCTACAAGATCTAGGCCGAACAATTTTTTATTACCCACTTTTTCCCAACAGATCGGCGATCTGCATGGGCGGCCATACAACACCTCGTACGAAGCCATACTAATACTTATTTGGTAGCTATTATTGTAGGCAAACTCTATTAGGGGTAAATGATCATCCCAATAGGCCCCGAAGTCAAGAACACAAGCGCAGAACATATCCTCCAGTGTGCAGATCATCGTTTCTGATTGTCCATCGGTCTGAGGGTGGAATGCATTACTAAGGGACAATTTCATTCCTATTGCCTACTGAAAACTAGACCAGAACCGAGAAGTGAACCTCGGGTCCCTATCGAACACTATTGTCACTCGCACTCTATGTAACCTGATTATCTTCCGGATATACATTCTTGCTAACTTGTCCAAGGAGTCGGTCATCTTGATGGCTAAGAAGTGGGAAGACTTGGTGAGCCGGTCAACAATTACTCAAATGAAATCATGTCTCGAGCGTGCTCTAGGCAATCCTGTCATGAACATGGAATAGTTAGGCCATGTAGATCAGATTGTTTCTCCATACACTTAAACACAGAACAGTTATATATGGGTACACATTTACCACTTTGCCAGTACACTTCAACACGGAACTATTATGTACAGTCACATTAAAGGCTAACATAATGTAGGTGCTTTAAGAACAATTTCTTTCTATAATGAGTGATGCACACATATTAAAATTATATTTGAAAACAAAAAATAAAATAACATTTTTATCAAAATAAAATTTTAACAAATACTTACTTAGTAAATATAAAAGATAATTCGAACACTTTCATATTTTTATACTGAAAATACGTAAAATATTTTAAAACAATGTAAGCTAATGAATCCATAATATCCACTCGTCTTAGGTCCTTACGAGTTGTAATCTTAATTCTGGCA